GGTTCAGCAATGCTTCCCATAGTTCATTTTAATTCCAGTTCCAACAACATTTTAGGAATAGTTGCAATTCAGTTAACAACGCCTCAAATTGCATGAACTCCCCATGATTAGATTAAAACCCAACTCAATTTAGTCTAACAACTGATTTAAGAATAAACAATCTTGGTAAACTGTTTAGCTAACACCATACCAATTTTTTAGGATACAAAGTTGCTTTTCATTGTGTCCATCCATTTTAATCCAAATTTAAATTCATCATCCAGAAATTATACCACTGAGTAATTGGTCTCATGCTTGATAAATATAGATTTATCCTAGATCTGAATATCTAGTAAAATCCCAACAACCAGAAATACCAGAAACTTTGAAGACGAGACAAAGAAAACAAATAAATTAAACACCATAACCTACTGACAACAGTGCTGTTTTTTAGAAAGCTTTTAAAAATAGAAGTAGGCTTTTTCATAGGAGGCAAAGACTATGAAAAACGCTAAATTCAACACAAATAAAATTGACAAGGATACCTTAGTTTAAATAATGGATTATTTCTGGAAAGAGTAAAAACTTGACAAGCAGCAACTCCCTAGTGGTCTCATGTAACCTCACAATTTTCGTTTTAATCTTACATTACCATACAATGAAGCTAGCAAGACATTAGCTGGAGCACTGGTATTCTCACTGCTCACTGTTTTTTCCAGTAATATTCTAACCTGGTGTTATCACCCCTCTTTCAAGATCATTTTAATATTTAAGCGGCTGTATCTCTCAGATGCATTCCAAAGACCTGCTTTTAATGGATGTTTTTAGCTAGCCTGTGTCAATGGCAGAGCAATTTATCTAGGCAATTGAGATGCACCACGGATGTTACAGATTTATATTCTTAACCAGCTCTTGGCTCATATGCCTCGTAACTTTGATGGGTTGCATATTAGAGCACATCTGACATTTTCAGTTAGATCCAGATACTCTTACAGCATATTACTGGAGCTGACAGGCTGAAATAATATTTCAGATTTCTTGATTAGACCTGAAAAGGTCAGATGAGCTCACGGTCAACAATTCACTCTGTGTGTAGTTAAATGATATGGCAAATGGTTTTATTGCATATGTAAACATGCACAATAATTGATTTCAAGTTCACACTGGCCGTCAGCATCTACAAAATACCTAAGGAGTCAAAGGAACATAGACATCTAGACAAGTCTTTTGTGATTAGCTTGCCTTCTCAGCATGTTAAATACCGAGATCGCTTCTGTCGTGTTAAAAGCCTGTCTTGTATATTCCGGCTGTCCCTTACATTACACATTTGCTGTTCAACAGATCAGTACAAACTGGATGACACTTGTGCATCTGCTGGAGATGAGAATGACGCTTTTCCT